TAATTAATGTTAAATTAATTATTTAATTAAGTTAATTATTGTATTAATTAATTTAAATCCTTAATTTCCGTTAATTATCTTCTCATTTTAATTTTACCCAAAACTTTTATAATTAAGCAATTTAGTCCACATATTTCAACTCTTTTCAAGTCAGTCCTTCATGTTTTGAATTTAACCAAATCAGTCCTTCATGTTTTGAATTTAACCAAATCAGTCCTTCATGTTTTGAATTTAATCAAATTAGTCCTTTAACTTTTTATTTATGCTCATTTCCCATGCATGTTCTTGAATTCGTCCATTTTAGTCCAAAAACCTAAAAAATGTTTCAATTTGGTTTAATTTTTTTTAGTTTGCTTATTAAGACTTAAATACAAATATAATTAATAAGTTGAATCAAAACCCCAATTTTAAAGTATGCAACCGTGTTTAAACGGAGGATTGTGAAGTGCGCGTACGCCCTTCCTCACTCTTAACCGAACCCCCGAACCCCGATTTCTGCGCAGACTTGTTTTAGGTGACTTGTCCCACCTTATAATTTGGACGAGTGGCGACTCCCTTCTTTTTATATTTTCACACTTAATCCCATTTTAAGTGGTCGTCAACAGATATAGGCACCAGGATGTGGCACCTTGGCCACTGTGTAAAGGCCTTCCCAATTCGAGGCTAATTTGCCAAAACAAGTTTCGAACCCTGTTAGATCAGCCTTTCTGAGAACAAGATCTCTTACTTTGAATGTTCAAGGGTCAACTCGTTTATTGTAGAAGTTAGCTAATTTCTGCTTATATACTAGAGTTCGAAGTCGTGCTTCTTCTCTGACCTCGGTAAGCAGGTCAAGGTTCTCTCGAAGTAGTTGTCCATTTCGTCCTTCATCGAAATGGGTGACCCAAAAGCTTGGGACTCCTATTTCAATAGGAATGACTGCTTCAGAACCAAAGGCCAGGTGGTAAGGTGTTTCACCTATTTCATTAAGTTATAGTTTTTAAAATATGCTTTATGTGTTGTGCATATTTAATCTAAGGTAAAGTCGTAGATGAGAAAATAAAATAGAATGAAAGTAACTTGGGTTCAAAATAATACCTGTAGCAGTTCGGCTCGTAGTTCTATATGCCCAGAGGACATTGTTGAGCTCGTCTGCCCACCTGGCTTTGTGCTACTCTAATCCTGGCTTTATTCCTTCGAGGATAGCTTTATTGACAAATTCAACCATACCATTAGACTCCAGATGGTATATTGAGGTAAACTGTAGTTTGATCCCGTAACTGAAGTAGAAATCTTTGAAGGAAGAGTAGTTAAACTGAGTACCATTATAAGCTACAATCTGATTCGGGATTCCATATCTACAGATGATTGAGCTGAAACAAAGTCTTCGACCTTTCTGGAAGTAAGGTTGGATAATGGCCAAGTTTCAACCCATTTCGTAAAATAGTTAACACCAACAGTTAGATGGGTTACACCTCCAACCTCCTTCATGAATGGGCCTAAAAGATCGAGTCCCCACTGAGCAAATGGCCACGGTGCTACCAAGTTGGTGAGCTTTTTTGCCAGTTGGTGAGTTAAATGCACAAAGAATTGGCACTTTGAGCATCTCTATACAAAGTGAGTGGCATCCTTATACATATTCGGCCAGTAATATCCTTGTCTGAGGACTTTGTGAGCCAAAGTTCTAGCACCAATATGGCTTCCACACACACCTTCATGCACTTCCCAAAGTGCGTACTCAGCTTCATAAGGATTCAGGCATCGTAGGAGAGGGAGTGAGAAAGATCTCTTATAGAGGACCCCATCAACGAGTGTATATTGAGACGCTTTCTTCCTCAACCTCATCTCTTCTTGCTTATCTTCAGGCACTGACTTGTCTCGTAGAAAAGAGACAATTGGATCTATCCAGCTCGACATAGTGGGGTCTGTGCTAATCTCCATCATTCTTGGCTTCATGAAGCTTAGTTCATCTAAAATTTCAACAAAAAACTGATCTAGAGCTTAAGGAGATATCATAGGCGAACTTAGAAAGTGAATCTGCCTGTTCATTCTCAGTTCGGGGAATTTTTCTCAAACAAAATTTATGGAACTTACACTTCAGCTCAGCCACCAGGGCTACATACTTCATCATGACAAGATCAACAACCTCACAAACTGAGTTGACTTGATTAACCACAAGCTGCGAGTCATTGTAAACTCTTATGGCCATGACTTTCCACTCCAATGCTAGTTGCAAACTAAGTAGCAGAGCTTCATACTCAGCCATGTTACTAGTTGCATCGAAGTTAAATTTCAAAGCATGCTCACTACGATATCCATTTGGGCCAACTATGAATGCACCAGCTCTTGAGTCCTTGCTATTAGATGCTCCATTAACATATAAGGTCTAGTTGCTCAGCTTGGGGTTAGAGCTTGGGTGACATGAGGTGCATTCCATGATAAAATCTACCAATGCTTGAGCTCAGATTACAGACCTCTGTTGAAATGTTATCTCGAATTCCCCTCGTTCTACTGCCCATTTAATTAACCTTCCCGAGCACTCTGGCTTTTGAAGGATTTCTCGAAGAGGTTGGTCTGTGAAGACTATGATTGGGTGTGATTGGAAATATGGCCTCAGCTTTCTGGCCGAAGTGACAACTGCTAACGCTGCTTTCTCAGCAATGGGGTACCTCAGTTCTACTCCATGTAATACACTGCTGATATAATAAACTAGTTTCTACTGTTTACCTTCTTCTGTCACTAGCACAGAACTAATTGATTCATCTGAAATACCGAGGTACAAATAGAGGATTTCTCCATCTATAGCCTTTGTCAACAAAGGGGGTGAGCTAAGATAAGACTTCAACTCATTGAATACAGCTTCGCATTCTCGGTTCCATTCAAACTTCTTTTGTTTGCCAGATTCATCCTTCTGCACTACTGATCTCATAATCTTAAAGAATGGCAAGCACTTATCTACTAACTTCGCTATGAATCAATGAAGAGCTGCCACCCTCCCAGTTAATCTCTATATATCTTTCATCGACTTCGGTGGTTCCATCTCGGCTATTACTTTAATCTTTTCTGGGTTAACCTCAATCTCCCTCCAAGAAACCATGAAACTGAGAAATTTTCCAAACTCCACGTTAAAGATGCACTTTGTGCTAGGTTCAACTGCATTTTGTTTTTTCTGAGGTTATTGAATGTTTCATCGAGGTCAGCTAGATGATCTTCTACTTTCAAGCTCTTCACAACAATGTCGTCGACATAAACTTCTAGATTCCTGCCGATCTGAGCTCGAAATAGTATGGTCACCATCTTCTAGTAAGTGGCACCTGCGTTCTTTAAGCTAAAAGGCATCATGACATAGCAATAAATTTCATCACCTGCATTAAACGAGGTTTTCTCCTCATCCTTCGGAGCCATTGGCACTGATGGTAGCCAGAATATGCATCTAAGAGACTTAATCTCTCATTTCCATAAGCCACTTCAACCAGTTTGTCAATGCTTGGCATCGGATAACAGTCTTTGGGACAAGCCTGGTTGAGATTTGTGTAATCGATGCACATTCGCCATTTACCATTTGCCTTCTTGACCAACACTAGGTTAGCCACCCATTCACAGTAATCAACTCTCCTGACGAAGCCAGCTTGTAAGAGTTTCTCTACTTCTTCCTTTATAACCTGAAGCCTCTCCCCCCAAAGAGATGTCACTTCTGGGCTACTAGTTTCTTCAATGGATTGGTGCTGAGCTTGTGCTGAGATACCGAGGTTGGAATCCCTAGCATGTCTGCTGAGGTCCAAGCGAAGACATCTTTGTTAGCTCGGAGGAAAGCTATTAGCTTTGCTATTTCTTTTGGGTTCAACCGAGTTCCAATTTATGTCTTCCTGTTTTGATCATTGCCATCAAGTTGCACTTCCTCTACATCATTAACTAGGGTAGCTCTAGTTTCATCTTCAAGTCGGTTGTCTATTATCTCTACCCTCATCACCTGTTGACTATCATGAACTTGTTGGGGAATCATTTCTGGTGTCTGATCTTTGCCTTTCTAAGGCCTTGTAACTGAGGTAAATATAGCAATGTCTAGCCACTTTCTGGTTACCTCGTAGTGTTGTTATCCCTATGGGGGTTGGGAACTTCATGCAGAGGTGAGATTGAGAGACCACAACTCGGATCTTAGTTAATGTAGGTCGTCCGATAACAGCATTGAAGAAGGATGCCATTTTGACAACTAGAAACTGAACTGAAGGGGTAACATAAGTTCGACCACTTCCAAAAGCAACATTGAGAGTAAGAGCTCTTTCGACTTGAACATGTTGGTTATTGAATCCATATATGGGGCCATCGTACTTTTGCAACAAAGCTGGGTCGAGTCCTAGACTTTAAAAACAATAAAAGTACATAATATCTGGTACACTCCCTATGTCAAAAAGGACACGTTGTACCTCACAGTTGTTAATCATAACAGAAGTGACCAAAGGATCATTATGGGGTGTGACAACTCTATCAAAGTTAGCAGGTGTGAAAGTGATGGGTTGATTCTTCTAGTCAGCATCGTCAAACTTTCGTTTTTGAGCTCGATTTTGATGCTTCAACTCCCTGACATACAATTTTCAGTGTTTGGAGCTCAAACCCCCTACTTCCAAGCCACTCGTAATCATATGTATAATTCTAGCTAGTGGTGGGAGTGGAGATGGGGCTTGTTGATATCTCATGCCTTGCTTGTTGCTTGCATTACGAGATCCCTATGGTTGTGGCCCTTATTCTCTGACAAACTTCAATTGCTTTGTTCTCTGGATATATTCATTTAGCATTCCCTTTTGAGCTAGACTTTCTAATTCGGGCCTCAGACTATTACACTGCTCCGTTGTGTGACCGTGATCTTGATGAAAATCACAATATCTAGTATGATCACGTGTAGCAGCATAACTTTTCATTGGCCCTGGTCGCCTCAAATCCATCTTGTTCTTAATTTGCATGAATATCTACGACCTCGGCAGATTGAAAGGAGTCCTTGTAACTAGTGCTTTATTGGTAATTTGCTGGGGGGGTACTAAGTTCGTCTTTCTGAATCTCGATGTGGAGGTCAACATCGGACCTCGGTTTTATACTGTCTTCATCCACTTTTTGCTCTGACCCTCATTTCTCCAATCTGGGTTTTGATTCTTGGGGAGAACTGGTTTCTGTGATAAAGCATATTCTTCAGTAGTTTTGAATTTCAAGGATCTGTCATTAACCTCATTAAAAGTAGTAGCAGGATGCTTAATTAAGCTATCTCTGAATCTCTCATGTTGGAGACCTGGAATTACAGTTGCAATTCCTACGGCTTGGTTGAATGAGCTGACTTCGAGAACTACATCATTGAACCTACTCATGTAGTTCTTCAAAGATTCTCTGTCCCTCTGTTTAACTCGCATAAGTTCAGAAGTGGTTTTCCTAATCAATCTTCTACTAGAAAACTTTGTAGCAAAAGTAGATGTCATTTCTGTATAAGAGCTAATAGATCTTGGAGGCAAACTATAGTACCAGGTTTGGGCGTTACCACGGAAAGCGGAGGGAAACATTTTGCACATCAACTCATAAGAAGCGTTTTGAGCTTGCATACAGGAGTAGAAGGCATGGAGGTGATCATCCAGATCCTTCATTCCATCATATGTTTCAAGCTAAGGCATTTTGAAACCAGCGGGATAAGGTTCCAATGTAATATTAGTGTTCAAAGGATGAGGTATGGAATCAGTGTTATGGTGTGGAGGTGGGGCACCTCGCTGCTCGGCTACTAGTTTTTCTAAGCTATCTAGACGTCGTGTGACATCATCAGGTAGAGGTTGTTAAGCTGAAGCTATGTGAGACTAACCCTGAGACTCACTAAGAGTAGGGGCATGTTGAACTACTTGAGGATCTTGTTGTTGAACTGAGGGTTGTTGAGTAGGGCTGAGTAGATTGATGAGGGGATCACCAGGATTATTTCGAGTTAAGAGCTGAGCCAAAACCAACTGAAAGACACCGAATTGCTGTTGCATGGCAACAAGTTGAGCTGTGACTACATCTCCTCGATTAAGAGTGGAAGCTGAATTGTGGGCTGAGTTGTGAGGTTGGTTTTCATCTCCTCCTTCTACATGTTCAACAAGAGGGAATAAGCTTGGGATCTGAGGTGGGAGGTTGTTGGGATATTGACCTTGACCTTGTCCAAGAGGTTAAGCCTAATTTCCAACTCAAATAAATCGAGTGTTGACCATGATGAGAAAGCAACAAAGGAGCTTTTAGTTCAGATTCCCATAGACAGCGCTAATGTAATTGCACCAAACTAGAGATCCTTCTTCAGTCCACCTCTTCACTCTGGATGAACCTGCAAAGCCTCGAGGTGGATCCTCAGGGTAGACACTCCAATGTTTAAGTCAGCAATAATTGAATCTACCTTTAGAATAATGGAAAAAGGAGCTTTTGGTTGGTTTCAATTACCTTTTTGAGGTGGCCCTTGGGGGGTATTTATAGGCCTTAGTGAGGTGTCCACGTGGCTTGCTTAATAGAATGATCGGAGTGTGATGTGTCCCTTCAGACGATAATTTCGGGATCGGGAAATTATGTAAATCATGTGTGAGCATGTTCACTGTATTTATCATGCAGCTATTTAACCGAGAAGTGCTAGGTTTAACTTCACTTCGGTTGTTAAGGAATTGTAGTAGTACGTTCAAGGTTAAGGACCTCGGACCTATCCTTACACATACATACCTTGAATTTTTCAAAATACCATTTGTTTGTTATTAGCCAATTCCATTCATCTTCACTGACATCTTTTGAACATAGTTTTCTAAGAAGGTACAATTGGTGCAACCTACCATGTCGAACAACAAATTGTTGTTGGCATTACTTCATTACACAATATTTTACATAGTCTAATAAGTTCAACGGATTTTAAACAAAGTAAAACAATAAAATAATTAGTCAATATTTATGCCACATGAAACATTTACTTATAAGGAAGTATGTAAGGATGGGAAATTATTTGTTTTGCCACTATTTGATCACTTTAATTGAGACAGTGGTATGTTTGAAAATGTCCATTATATATCGTTTGATTGGCTTAAAGCAACCAAGGAGGTGTGGGGCATCACCCTTATAGATTGGGCTAATTTAATGGGAATGTATACAAAGTATAAATGCAAACTAAGATTAGTGTCCAAAAATGATAAAAAATATAATATGAACTACTAGTTTTAGAAAGAAATTAATAATTTGTATAAGAAATGGCATGGTACCCCTTCTGTCATAAATAATAATAATAATTTTTTATTGTTAAAAAAAATTATAATAAATAGACTATTAAAACACAAATTAGAAAATTATTTACTAAATTTATGTACTACTTATTCAATTACTTTACCATAATAAATTAAAGTAATATTATATATTATTTTTAAAAATATCCACGTCATCTCTTTAGATATTATCATCCACTTCTCTCCAAGGAAAAGTAGGGGGTGAATGTTGACTAATTCAAATTTCAACTTTAGCTTTAAAAAATAAAAAATCAACAGCACGAACCTTTTCAAATTGTGGTACAAATTGAATATCAAGTAACTATCGTTTGTCTTTCTTTTGCTTTAGCACTGGGATCTTTATAAATTCATATCTTCTTTTGGTGATAAGGTGGGGCATAAATAATAAATTACACAGTTAAAGTTTTTACTCCAAAAAAAAATGTTAAAAAATATTTATATTTCTAAATTTTAATTAAAAATATAATGAAACCTACAATTTGGATATTGTCATTGTTCTCATCATTCTCAAATAGAGTTCAAAACACTATCTTTAATATTTATAAAAAGGGTAAGAAATAAAAAATATGAAATATTAATAAAATTTTAATAATTACATTCACAATAACAAAACAATAGCTCAATACCACTACTATTTTAGTGTTATTTTATTTGAAAATACAAAATTTTTATTCCTATATATATGAACAATAAGAAAACCTAAGGAATTGAGCGATCCAATAAAATGTAGTAGTCTACTACTTCTAGGAATTCTACATCTTGATTTACTTATTTTAAATTTACAAATGAACTTCTATGCAAAATGTTATTCTGTAAGATAAAGCAAAACTCTATCATGTAAGATAGTCAAATTGGCTATATATTATCAAAGTAAAGTGAATTGCCTCCCCAAACTTACAACCCAACCAAGAACCAAATAACAAAGAACCAGTCCTTTCAAAAAAGTTCCCCCTAGAAACACGTTATTCAATAAATACCAGAATTTAGTTTTTCAAGAACACAAATCGATTAATATCCAAAATCCATTTCTTCATAGAAACCAAAAATTCAATCCCAAAAATATCCATTAAAGCATTCTATAGCATGCTTCCCACCAATTCATTAACACTCAAAACCATTATACCTCAGCCAAACCTGACATTTCTGCCAATGGTGTTTTTAGAGATTCCTATTGACAATGGCTTATTGGTTTCAGTAAAAAAGTGGGCTTTTCTACTTCTGTTGCTGTTGAGATTTAGGGAAATTAGAGAATCTTAAAACATAGCAAGATTAAGAGTAAGAGATAATTGAATTGATAAAATATAGATCCTTCTAAAGGTTGAAAGCTAAAAGCTTACCAAAATTATCCTTGAAAGTATAGCAATTCAACCCAAGAAAGGCCTTAAAAATAAATATATGATGAATCAAAGCATACTGTAGAAGAGTTATAATAAAAGGTTTGGCTGAGAAAATAAAGACTATTGATGACTAGGCACTATATATAAATTAAAGAAGATTAGGCTAGATGTAAACAATATTATTGTACCTTTTCTAAAGTGCCTTAAACTTGTTAATGGCTTCTTAGCCTTTATGTGGTTGGTATTAGGGCTCTTTGTTGACATGCCAAAATGGATGGAGTCGCCATCTATCTAAGTGAGGTGGGATAGACCACCAAAGTCTGTGTAGAAATTGACTAAGGATCAAAAGGTTGATTAAGCATAGGGATGGTATTAGGCACCCCACAACTTTCAAATGAATATGGTTACCACATACTTTAATTTTAGGTTTATTCAATTATAAAAAATAATAGAAATAGATTCAATGTATGAAAGGAAGAGGGAAAAAAAAACTTTATTCAAAAAAGAGCCAAACAAGAGAAATGCATGATTTGATAAATCCGGCTAAATTCAAAAAATTATCTATTAACTTTCAGTTTAATTTCAGTTTCATCTATTATCTTTGAATTGTTTCAATTCTATCTATTATCTTTCACATTTATTTCAATTTCATCTAGGCAGTTAAAGTTAACAGAAATCTTAACGGAAAATCTTCTTAAATTTAGTACTCTAACTATGTTTCTTTTAATCTTTTAGTCCTTAAATTTATATTCACAGTAAAAATGGTTTTTATTCTTATTTTGATAAATGTGTTTTTCATAAAATTATTTTACAGAGCAGACTACATTCAGTCTACCCTGTAAAATTATTTAAATACCCTTAATTTTATTTTTATATTATTTTTTCATGAACATTTAAATAATTTTATAAGACAGATTATACACAGTCTGTCCTATAAAACAGACTTACCTGTGAAATTTCTTATTCTAAACTTATTGAATTTCTCTATTTGAATTACAATCTATCTCTATAAACTATTTTTTGATTCATCATATTTTACTAGGATTTAAGTGTCACTTTTTTAAACTCAAAGGACTGCTTTTTTCTCAAATCTAACGGCAACCTAACGTCATCTTTGTATGATAGACTAATTTGAAATATTCTTCAAAGTTTCTAGATCATTTAGAAACAAAACAAACTTTCTAAACTAAAATGAAATTAAACAGAAAGTTAGTAGATGATTTTTTGAATTAAGCCGATAAATCCCGATTATGCAACCTTTTTTTTAAATAGGTCATTATTAAATTACATTTTTTTTTTTTTATCTTGGTTGCACAATGGGAGGCAACCATTTCCCAACCCTTGTCTCACCCCACCCGCATGTCATGTGACTCGAACTCAAGATCTCTTATTTCCAGTGAAAAAAGATAACCATTGAGTTATTTAAGTCGTTGGCCATTATTAAATTACATTAATGGAATACTTGAACTAAACTTGGCTAATAACGCCAAAATGGACAACAATGAACATGAACCCTTTTATTTCTCATTCTCTGTTTCCTAAAATGATACCAAGTTATCAAAATAGCAAAAATCAAATAATATTTAAAATTGAACAAATAAACAACTGCAATTTATGAACATACAAAACTAATAATTTCTAAATTTTTCATGTTAACCAAACTAAAACAAACCTATTAATAAAACGAAATTAATACCCAATTTTTTTAAGTGAAAACAAAGCTTGGAATTTTTTTTAAGATAAAAAACAGATCTGAAAAAAGAAAAATCAAACATTGATTCATGGCTAAGATGGAAATCGGAAATGGGAAAGAGAGGATAAAATAATAATAATAATAACAACAATAATAATTAAAGCTCTTTGTTGTATTCTATTCAAAGAACTAGGTTTTTTTGTACCCGTGCTTTGCACGTGTTTGTTTTTATGTTTTTTATATTATTTATTTAATATTATAATAATTTTTTAATAAAAAAATTTTTAATTGATTTAAGTATTAAGAAATTATTAATAGAAATAAGTATTTTTTATTTTACATATAACAAATTTTAG